TGAAGGTGAACATAAACTCCAAATTTGAAATAAATAGACTGTAATCACTCATACTCAATTTGTTAGATGAAACCATCAATACCAATACATAGTAACAATGATTTGTTGAGATCTACCACAACCGCTAATCTAGCGAATTTCTCTCTCCCCACCGCATTGGTATTATAATATACCTTGACCACTTTTCCAATTTCAGCAGCTACCAAACCAAACAGAGATTTCGTATAGTAATGATACGGTAAACCTGGGAGGCAAATCCATATGACTACTTGAGACGGGTGGTTTTCAGATGTAGAAAAGCTCCGGCTATATGGTTGAACCATTAGATAACTACCAAACATCACCTACGGACCCTCCGTCAAGATTATATTGTAATCACTTTCGCAGTTCAGCTTCACCAAAAAATAACCCTTGTCAAGATCGATCAACTGAATATGTCCTTACGGTTTTCATAGAAGTTGAATTTTATTGCACAACGCATGGTACCCAAAAGTCCTCCCTAAGAAACACACAATAGTTAATATCTTCATATTCTCATCAATGACATCATGAATCCCATCGGAGAAGGTGATGATAGGATAAGAGCCGCTTCTATCCACCACCACATGCCCTCTTGGATGGTAATGTCATTCCTTTCAAAGAAACTTTTGGCTGAATCATCCACCACACCTAAGTCTGCAACCATGGCCACATAAGAAAGTTTATTCATATGTGGTATGAAAAGCCCTTCCCACATCCGATTCATCTCTCCCAGCTATGCAGTCACACCTCCCACGGGTGTACCAAAATCAGGACAAATCGAACATTCCAATCCAGCCAGATTATTTGACACAATCCCACTATTCGGGGAACCAAATTTCTCTAGAGGATGATTCCCGACTACCCTCACAGCCGGTTGAGGACCGTATGACAACTGATTGAGGACTGCTAACCATGCAAACAACAGACCCTAACACAAAACAAGATCCTAAAAAACTGAGACAAAAAACCCAGGAGTTTATTTATCATTTTTAGTTAAAAATAATGAAGTGATTATTTAAAAAAGTGTGACTATCACTTAAAGACTTAATTATTCTGAAAAATAATAACGTGAAATGTTGAAATGCAAAGGGGAGGCTAGATTCTTTAATCTTTGGGCTAACTGGAATCGGCTTGACCCAATTCACTAGTATCTTATTGAAACCAAAATTGAGGTTCACGTACAAGGGTTTTTTTGGCCCAATACCCTAGACTGGTAAATTAATTGGCTCAATAGCCCATGCCCGAATTTATTTTGCAATCTACGGTAAATGCTACAGTGCAGCAAAAACTCATCAAGTCGATGTGATGAGTTTAGCCGAAATTTATTTTTAAATGGTACTTAGTCAATAATCCCCATGTGGACTAATATTATAATATATTTACATAGACTCATTTCCTCGACGTAACGAGTCTCTTGGGAAGCAATTTTTAATTCATAAATAATTAAAAAATAAAGTAAAATTAAAAAAATAGAGAAACTCATCACGTTGAGGTGACGAGTTACCTTGAAATTTAAAAATAAAATAATTGTTAGACAACATGTAACTTTTGAATTTAAAAAAAATTACCGTTGAAACTTATCACGTCGAGGTGATGAGTTTTGTTGAATTTAATTTAAAAAATAAATAATTTAAAAATAATTTTATTAAAAAATAATAATAAAAGTTCTTATAGTTTTATATTTTCATTAACTCTTGAAGATGTTGAGGAGTGTTCGAATGATAATAGGGAGGGACTCACTGAGTACATCGTGGTCGTACACCTTGATCGTTTTCGTCATCGTTTTCTTTTTTCAACAGGAGGAGTACTGAACATCACTCCACTTTGAGATCCACATTCGAAATAAGATGACGGAATGCTTAAGGTATTTGACGTCATCATTGTCGTCATTAACTCGACTTGGTCATCGAAATCCCTTTGTTGACCATATATAATATGATCCTAGTCATCCTCACCTGCATGTTTTTGTCGAAGATTCTTGAGTGTTTTGTATTATATCCTATGAACCTCCAACCCAATTCGTCTAACTCTCCATTAAAGCATGATATGGAGGATAAAATCCATAATTGGTCGGAGATGCAAAATACTCGTCATAAGCAAAAGACGAAGATGTCTATGATTATGTTTTCTTTCCCTTTGCGAACTTGGCCTTCATTTGTTCCCATTATTCCCACTCTTATGGTGTTGTTAAATATGGTTTCTCATTTTCTTCATAATTTCAAAGGAAAGGAGAAATGTCAAAATCAAGGTCAACATATATAATTTCAAAACGCATAGGTACATATAAATGTTGTTCATTCTATTGTTTAATGTATACAACTTGTTTCCCCAACCAATTATCTTTATGCTTCCCACGTGTATCAATCTTATGGAGCGTATTCATATCAAATATTTGCATAGGAATTGGTTAATGAGAGGAAAACTATCGCAACACTTTATCTACATCGTACATCTCAACAATCATAAAAATCTCAATGGAAGTAACCGTTGGATCTCATCGTCACAATACGGGATCTAAGAAAACTGTAAACATCAATTATAAAAGGTAGTATAAATAAAAATTACTATAAAAAATAATATAAAAGTTAGTAATTTGTCATATGTCGACTGGCGATATTGATATTCATTCGTATATCAGTTTTATTTGCACCCGACAACTTGGTCTCAGTAATTTTATGTCGTCATCTATATAATATAATAAATAAATAATAAAAAAAGGAAAATTAATATAAAAATTTTCTTAAAAAATAAAGTTAAAAAATTACCTTTCAGCCAAAAGAAACTCAACGAGGCTGATGTAATTGGCATAAAAAAGGGGAATTGATACCATGCCCAAGACTGTAGCAAGACTAGACAACCATCAACATCGACTTTTTGATCTCTTTCAATGATTGTAGCCTTGCAAAGTTCTGGTATAAAAATGCAAAAATGGTCGAGCTCCAACTAGTATTACGACACCCAGTAAAGTTATCCAGTATGGAAGATACTGAATGTGTGCCAAATTACCAGATTTATCAAATAACAATATCCCTCCAATCAATTGGAGAAGATACATTTTGGCTGCAAATATGACCTCCTCATCCGTAGAGTCGTTAGTCACATTAAATTCAAACTCCAACCAAATGATCTGTATTTGCTACCCGTCTAAGATCTCTAGTGGTGGCATCTTCCCCGAAATTATTTGAACAATATCAAATCGGTTGAAATCTTTGTGCCTCATTAGTGTCACACCATTAACTGAAACATTGAGTTGGTAAGTGACATCTTCCAACGTAATTACTTCACCACTCAAAAATGGAAAGTATACGTCTCGAGCCTCCAACATTCAATCAGAGCGAAAATCAATGTCGGGTTCACCTTAAAACCACACATAAATGTGACTGGATACAACCCATATTGTTATAGATATATAATAATCCGCTGATGCAGATCTCTCGATGTCATTCATCGTTGACGAATGTCTCATTCTTCTTCCAGACCGAGTTCAAGGAAGAAATATGGACAACATCAAGGTGTAACATTTTATCTTGTGTAGACATTTTTCGGGGACTTTTCAAAAAATATGAATTTTTCTCAATTCTTTCTTAACAATAACACAATAAAAATCCTAAATCACAAACCCCTATTTATACCCAAAACCCAACGACTATTTTTTCAAAAATCCAACCGAACTTGTCACATCGAGGTGAGAGTTATAAATTGACCGTTGTAGCTGCCCGTTGCATAATGATTATAAACGATTAGTTTTTTAGATTCAAGTGGAACTCGTCACCTCGACGAGATGAGTTTCTCTGATTTTTTTTAATTATTTACTAAATTTAAAAAATGAAACTACTTCTCATGGGACGTGACGAGTCCCTACAAATATATTATAATATTTACTCATGTGGGATCCACTAACTAGGGACCATTTAAAAATAATTATTGATAAACTCGTTACCTCGATTTGAGGAGTTTGTGATGCACTGTAATATTTACTGTAGATTACAAAATAAATTCGAATGCAACTTATTGGACCAATTAATTTAATCGCAGGGGTATTGGAAAAAAAACCCACATTGAAGTGGCCTTAAAACAACATTTCCAAGGACCAAAAAACCTTCAACTTTATTAACGTAAACCTAAAGAAGGTGTAGCCAAGAAGTAAAGAATTGAAGGTTCAATTTGCTCACGTGGTAGGCGTTTTATCAATCTCCAAACTTGAAGTTTGGTGGTGAAGATAAAGCATCTTTGAATTGAAAACCAAAGAATATGCCTGTTTTATGGGTGTGGGGCAAGGGACCTAACCCTACCCATTTTACCAACTCACCCAACCCATTCCCATTATTAATTTAATTAAAGTCTCAGCTATCGATTTTGTAACTTCACAACAAACTAATGCTCATCGCTTGTTTCTAGAAGGCAAAAGCTTTTATGAAATTAAGATCTAAGATTAAGCAAAAATCATTTGATTAGGTGAAGGAATTTTGATAAACCCACCACCGACGGCATGAGTTTGGGGACAGGTAATCCAAACATTGGTGTCGGCGAGAAACACTTGGTTACGTTTCTCATTCATTTATTTATTTCTAAACCACAATGATATTCATGTTGTTAGTGTAGTTTTCATGATATCGAACATAACCCAGAAAAAGTTGACATTGAGATGCCAATGGTGGCAGCCAATCTATCTGGTATTTGGAGTTTGTACAAAACAACAATCAATTTCTACAAGAAAACAAGCACAAGTTTCAATGTTTTCACATGCGAATCCAGTTTACAATGCACATATTCATCTCATTGATGTACAAGTCAATAAAGTAAAATAACTTATATAAACTTTGGTTTATATTTTAAAAAATTAACAAAACCATGTACTTTTGAAACTAAAGAAGTCAACTGTTAGAGTTTCAAAGCAAAACACAAGGATTGGTAGACTGACCCTCAAAGTTAGATGAACAATTTACCCACACATTCTTAACAACTTGAGAGTATATAAATTTCATGCAAAACAAAATTACCAAGTTTCAATAAAGAATGGTATATACAATCTGTGGCCAGTGAATAGCCAATCAGAACTCTTCAATCACCAAAAAATTAAATGTCAGTCAACTCTGTTTTTTTCTCTCTAATCATTAACAATAAAAATCATCACCAATTGCATCAAAGCCGTCAAAATTAATTATCTCACGGTGATCCAGCCTTCCGAAACTGACCAATTCGGTGCCTCGTCACAAGCCAATCGATGAATCCGATCCGAAGGTGATGGAATGTGGCTAGAAAACGAAGATCCGATCCTTGAATTTTCCTGGAAAATTGGTTGAGAAGCCGTTGATTGTTTTGAAACCCATCCTGGGAAATCGAAATGACATCTCGGTGACTCTGAAAATTCTTCGAAATAACAATTTGGAGACGTTGATTCTTCTTCTTCTTCTTCTTCTTCATCGTCAGCCATGAAAGAATGATTGAGGAGCATCTCGGCCGTCCATCTCTTCTTCGGGTCCTTAACGAAGCACTTTCCAAGAAAATCTTTTCCTTCATCGGATAAATCTCCAGGAATCCTCGGCAATTCATCGCTAGTCCCAATTCGAATCAACAAAGCCGCCACGTTCGTCCCTGGTTTGAAATTCCAAGCCGGTTTCCCGGTAAACATCTCGACAATGGCGCATCCAAGGGCCCATATATCTACCGGCGAATCATAATCGCACCCATTAACAGACTCTGGTGCGATATTCAAAGGGGTTCCCCTGATTTCCATCCTCTGTATTTCTTCCCCGTTTCTCTTCGCCAAACCAAAATCAGCTATCTTCACATCACCATTACCAAACAAGAGAATATTTTGAAGCTTAATATCACAGTGAACAAACCCTCTGGCGTGAACGAAACTCAGCCCTTTCAGTATCGACTTAACGTATCGTCTAACATCGGATTCCATCATGTTCCCGCCATTTTTCTTCACCTGATCGGCCAAGCTTCCTTTGTTAGCGTACTCCAAGAACATATTATAGAACTTCTTTCCATTCTCGACGGTATAATCGTCGCCGAAACAACGGATGATTTGCGGGCAAAACCCGAGTTTTTCAAGCACTTCCTTCTCGTTCTGGAGAGAAACAGAGTGGATGGCATCACATGACTTGACCGCCATTAATGGAGAAATTGGGAAACCTTTTCTTGGTACAACCAAATTGACAGTGCCGAAACTTCCATATCCAATAGCATCCCCGCGAACCCACTCCATTTGAATCTCCCAACCTCAACCCAAAGAACTCAGTTTTTTTCGGTTTGGGGTTTTGGAAGAAACCGTAGGGTTTTTTTTCTTTGGGAGAAAGAAAGGAATTGAGGAGTGACAGAATCAGGGTTCGCAGGGAATTATGGTGGCGGAGAGTGCTTTTATATATGGACTAGGAGATGGACTTTTATTTATTAAGTGTGAAAATTCAATTTTCTTCTAATTAATGCACGTGACGTTTCGGGGTTTTTTTTATAATTCGATTTTTTTTCAAAATTTTGATATGAAAAAAACAGCTTAACCCCAGTTTTTAAAACGTGGTGGATATGGCAAATCCCCGAATATTTTCACCTACGTGGATATTTAAAACTCATTTTTTTCACGAATTAAGTGTCTTTCGTGGTAAAAAAATTGTTATTATTTTTTTAAATATTCGGATTCAAATATTATAGATGTCAAAGGTTGTAAACATTCAATATTAAAATATTAAGAGTTTTTTTAAACAAATATTATCTTATACTTACTTCAAATTAATAAAAAATATTATATTTTTAATGTAGAAATAAATATATGTGTTCCTCTTAATACATTAAAGGTGAACTTTTTAATGCTACAATTTATTTTAATTTATGTTCCTTTTTCAATTAAATTATAAATTTTATATGGTATTTACTGACTTATTGTGATTGGTGAAGTTTAAAACTTATGATGCCGACATATAATATATAAATATAACCATTGAAAATAACTTGTATTTAAAAACGATTTAGTTTTGACATGAAAAGTGAGGTTTGGTGATTGTGGGTCTCTCTCAGTCTCTTTCTAATTTCAATGCGTAAGGTACACAATTTCTCCATGTCACTTGAAGAAAAAGAAATGCAATAACTTGATATTATTTTAGTGTTGTATATTAAATTAAATAATTAATTATGTTATATGTATTGTAAATCGTTTTGAATTTACAAAAAAAAAAATTATGAACTGACACATACATAAATATTAATGTCATAGATTTCTTTTTGGATAATTAAATTTTATTACTCAATAGCAGTTGACTGCTACAAAACAATATAGTTCAAAAATACAAGGATCACCCAAAACAAAAGGCAATCAACCCATCAAACTATACTCCATTGGTTACAAATAGTAATATTAACATAGTCTAATCTACTAATAGTTCTTCCCCTTAGATGAATACCAACAATTTCCTTGATAGCATTGAACATTTCTTCAACAGTAGATGAATGACCTTGAAAAAGCCTCTTGTTTCTTTCCTTCCATATGGTGTAAATTAAGGCATTCGAAGAAACTTTCATAATAGAAGTTAGAAGGGATTTACCCTTCCAAAGCGCAGCTGCCCAACTAAAGAGTGCAACCCAAGAAGGATGTCTAAACCGTAATCCATTGATAGAAAAAAGAGCAGACCATAAAGAGGAAGCAACGGGGCACTCGAAGAATAAATGATTCCTAGTTTCCATTGCAGCAGCATATAAAATGCAGTGGTTGTCATTAACAGTCTCCATTTTATGAAGTCTTTCTTTAGTAGGAAGTCTGTCAAGAAATGACATCCAGACTATAAGACTATGCTTAGGTATGAAAAGAGGGAACCAAAGCAAAGAGTGCTATTGAACTTTAGGGTTCTTTACCCTAATCTCATTCCAGATATCACTAACATTTGTAGTATCAGATGACAAAATAGAGGAGGCTTCAAACCTTAATTTGAGGATCTGTTTTAAGTTCAAGCTCATGTTTGATTTAATAGCAACAATCCAGAAATCATTAGCATTGAATATGTAATTCCTTAACCAAGCCACCCACAAAGAACCTTCCCCAGCCAAAATTTTCTTTATGTGAATCATCATGCAAGCTTTGTTCCATGATTTCATGTCTTTAAGGTCGAGACCACCCTCTGATTTAGGTTGGCAGACTTTCTGCCAGCTCACTCCAGCACTAGCAACTGGCTTGTCAGCCCCTTTCCAAAAGAATCTTGAAAATAACTGCTCTATCTTTTTAATGACAGAGTACGACAAGAAAAGTTACCTACACCAAAAATTAGAAATGCTAAATAAAATAGCTCGAACAAGCTCCAGTCTACCAACATAACTTAAAAACTTCCCAGACCAATTATTCAACCGAGCTTTAATGTTGTCAATAAGGGTTGAACAATCATTTTCTGAAATTTTCCTTGTGACCAAAGGAATGCCCATATATCTAATAGGAAAACTGCCTAATTTGAAACCAGTAATCAATTTCAGTTCTTCAAGAGTTGAATAAGAAATGCCAGCAGAAAAGAAATCACATTTGGAAGCATTTAATTTAATGCCAGGCATCTCATAAAAAGAATCAAGGACAGAAGTGACCCCAATGACAGAATCCACAGTGTCTTTATAGAAAATTAAGAGATCATCAGCAAATGAAAGATGAGTAAGACCAATACGTTTGCATTTGGGATGATAACCAATCAAACCTTTAGTGGCAGCCAAGTTCAAGAGCTTAGACAGAACATTAATAGAAACTCAATCCCCTTGCCTAACTCCCATTGCTTCTTTAAAATAACCAATAAGGCTCCCATTTAAGGAAATTGAGAAGCTTGCAGTAGAATACCAAGTTTCAATCCATGAAATAAAGAGAGAAGGAAAACCAATAGCTTTTAAAACAACAGAGATAAAATCCCAGCTAAGAGAGTCGAAAGCTTTGTGGAGGTCAATTTTCAATGAGCAACGAGGATAGATATTCTTCCTATTATAGCCTCTCACTAATTCCTGAGCCAGAAGAGTGTTATCAACGATGGATCTGCCCTTAATAAATGCAGATTGATTAAGAGTGATGAGGTCTGGGAGAAGTCTGGACATTCTATTAACCAGAATTTTAGATATGGCTTTATACACCACAGAACAACAAGAGATAGGTCTAAAGTCTTTGACCTTACTAGGATTAGGAATCTTAGGAATCAATGCTATTGTGGTAGCATTAAAAGCTGGAAGTAAGAAGGATTCCCTGAAGAAATAGTTAATGGCAGTAGAGGTATCATCCCCAATAATAACCCAAGGCTTTTTAAAGAAGAGAGGGGTGTACCCATCAGGGCTAGGGTCTTTGTCATTACCTTGATAAAAGAATCCTTATTTAATTTCATCTTGAGAAATATCTTTAATAAGGTCAGCAGAGAGATCTGAAGGCAATGAAGATTGAAGAAGGTCTTTGAGAATATTAGGATCAGTGAATTTAACCAGAGGGTCAGGAGTGCTAATAGAATTTGTGAAGAAATTGATCACCTCAGTGGACATAGCCTCAAAAGTTTCCAGTCTGTTCCCCTGGTCATCAATAAGAAGTCTAATGGTATCTCTTTTATTTTTAAGGGCAAAAGCATAATGGAAGAATTTGGTACATTTATCACCTTCTTTAATCCAATGGACCTTTGCTTTTTTGCTTTAAGAACATAGCTTCAGCATCTTCAAGAGACTTTAGATCCTTTTGTAAGGGAATTTCCAAATCATACCCAGCTTCACCTTTGAGGGGTTTGAGCTGTTGTTGTTCCAGTTCATCTTTCTTAAGCTTAACCCGAGTGGAAAAATCACTGTAGAAAGAGTTGTTAAGGGCTCTAAGATGAGTTTTAAGACGCTTGAGCTTAAAGGAAAGTTTTTGCATAGGGTTTCCCATAGCAGGATTGTTCCAAGATTGCTCAACAATATTAAGAAAATTTGAGTGATGGGCCCAGAAGTTAAAAAACTTGAAGGGTTTTGGTCTATTAGCCTGCACTTCTTTGTGGGTCCAGAGAAGAGCCATGCAATGGTATGAGATTCCAGGTACAAGCAACTCAACCTGGGAAGAATGAAAGGAATTAACCCAATGGTGATTAATAAGGACTCTATCAAGTTTCCTGGTAAGGAAAGAATATTGTTGTTTGTTGCTCCAAGAAAAAGTTGGGCCAAAAAAGGGGTGGTCAAAAAATCAAGTTCAGAAACGACATCCTGAAAATCTATCATATTAGAGGAGGAAGAAGGACCAAGTAGTTCAAAATCAGAAGACTCATTGGGGTTCAAAATGATGTTAAAATCACCACCTATGATCCAAGGCAAGTGACCTAGGTTTCTGTCCAAATCCTTTAATTACTGCCAAAGAAGTCTTCTTTCTCTACCATCATTACTACCATAAACTACAGTGATGATAAATGGCATACTAGAATGGGAGCCTTTGATGGTGATACATTGATTAGAGGCATGACAGAAGGTGAAGTCTATGCCCTTTCTCCATAAGATCCAGATTCGACTATTGTGGGTATAGTCATAATTTGTACAGACAATCCAATTAGCAAATTTATTCTGAAGAATATTCAAAGACTTACCAGCTTTCACTCTTGTTTCTAGCAGATAAAGGACATTAATTTTATTTATATTAGCTCTTCTAATGACACTAGCTTGTTTATGAGGACAATTAAGTCCTCTAATATTCCAGAATCCACAGATCATTGGGAAAGAGAAGTAAGGGAACCTCCACCTCCATCCATCTCAGAATTTTTTTGCTTTGACTAACTTGTCTTTCTTTTTCTGTTTTAGGTCATTAACAATACTGGCTACTCCCAAGGAAGCTTGTCTAATTTTTCTTTGTTGGCCTTCAGGAACAGAAGAATAATCATCAACAACACTAAGAGCTGTAAATCTGTTATTTGATTCAGATAAACCTAATTTGGATTTGTTCTTTGTTGGTCTACCCCTACCCCTCTTTGAGTTAGAAAACTGAGAATTAGATAAAGTATCAGTATGAACATCAGAAGTTTTAGAAAGAGATGGATCATTTCCTTCACTAGAAGCACAGGTAAGAGCTATTGTATCTTGTAATTTATCAGCAGAATCCTCTACAGTAGATTCAATAATAACATCAACAATATCAACAAGATGTTTAAAGGTGTCAACAACATTGTTAGGGATATTAGGTTCAGATTCTTGCAATAATTCAATGCCTCCAACAGCGGGCTCAGACACTGGAGATGAACTAGAGACTTCTTTCTTTTTCCAAACTTGTTGTTTAACAAGAGGTTGATTTTTCAGAGAGATGCAATTTTTCTCACTATGAGCGAAGACACTACATTTCCTACAACAAGAGGGGAACCAAGGCACCTCAACCACAACAGAGGTGGTTTTACCATCATTAAGAACCACGTCAACGAATTTGGGAATAACATCGTTAACGCCTATTTCTACACAAACTTTGGCATATTCCAAGTGGGATTTTACAGCAGTTATATCCATAGAGAGGGGGTAACCTATGGCACTGGCAATATAACTCAAGCCAGTTCTAGAGAAGAGCTCGAGGGGAACATTAAAAATATGAACCAATACTGGAATTTGAGATAGGTCAAATTGAAGCCTTTTCAAGTTAGGTTCCCACTTCCTAAATATTAGGGGTTTGTTAAGGATATGTCAGGGTCCACTTTCAAGTACCCAATCTCTATTTGATTCTGAATTAAAAGAGAAAACATAAAGGTTATTTCCTACGAAACTGACTTGGACTTTGCTGCCCTCCAGAGCCCTCTTCTATAGATTATTGACGATGCGTTGCATTGAAGCGAAATTAGGCACAACACCAAGGAATTGACCAACGAGCGATAGCTTCCATTCTTCAATCCCAATATCGAAGACCTCAGAAGGTGGACGAACAGGGATAGCCCTATACTAAACCTTAGGCGGGTGAAATTCCAAATCATGTCCCTCAGAGCAACCGAAAAGCTTCCTCCAATCCATCGAAAATGACAGAAGGAAGAAAACACCCAGAAAATAAGATGAAAATAAAAAGAGGAAAGACTTGAACGCGCCGAAGAAACGAACGAGGTTTTCAGGATTCATTAGCCTAGCTAACGTGTACCCAGAGAAAAACCTTATCGTACGCCATTAAGAGATAATCTCTATACCTATGTCATAGAATTATTATATAAAATAAGTGAAAAAAAAAATCCAAGGTGTATATTTATCCATACTCATTAAGGCATGTCGCCACTAGTTATAGGTAGGGATGGCAAACAGATACAATTTCATGGATTTTGCACCGTATCCATTCCAATTGGAGCGGGGATGGGTATAACTTTAGTGGGTAGTGGACGAATGTGGATTTAGAAAATGGTAACCGTCGCAGGTAGTGGGCGGGTGATGGGTTTGAGACCTTACCCGCCCCGCATTCACCTGCCCCACATCCGCCCACCCACTAAATACCCATTAAATTTTGGATCATTATAAATTTAGGTATAATTTTAGGGTTTGTCATATATGTGTGCCAAAAAACAAAAATATTTATGTTTCTAGGCTTTAATTATGTATTTTATTATGGTGTTTTATGTACTTTAAGATCTATGTTAATACTTAACTCAGATAATCATTGGTTTATTTTATTATGTTTCTTAATGGACGTGTTTGTTTTATGTTTGTTGCTTATGTATAACTTAAGGTTGCTGTCAGGCGGGTCTAGCCGGGTACGTCTCCAGTTGGGTAGTGAGTGTGGGGATGGATTTAAGAATGTGCCTGCGTGGCGGGTGTGGATTTGAAAAATTTTACCCATCATGAGTAGTCGGCGGGTGGTGGATTTAAAAATATTAAGTGGGTATGAGGATGGGGGAGGGGGTATCCGCACCCGACCCGCCCGTTTGTCATCCCTAGTTATAGGTATTAAAGTATTATAAAAATAATATTGATCACTTGATATTATGAATATTTTAAAATTAATTATATAATTTACAAATATATATTATATTATTTAAGGAACATAGATAAATAATATTACAATATAATTTAATACTTTAGAGTTGCAACTTTGTTAAAAACAAAATTACAACCATTCATGGTCCATGTGAGGGCAAAAAGAAGATCGGTTGGCCATTTCTTTTTGAGATATTTATATTAATTATAACTTTTATAGGATATATCTTTTCTTCTTAAAAAAGATTTTTAAATTATAATTTACTAAAATTAGAAAATCCACCAAAATTATGTATCTTATTTTTCTTCAAAAATATATTTTGAAAATTAAAGAGATCCAAGTAAAATAGTGAAGGTCTCGAAAAGGAATGGCGTGGGGTTTAACATTGCTTAAATGTGCATGTTTTTCAAGTCATTTAACTGAAAGGGAAAAATCATGTCAACAATAATAAAAAAATATGCAATAAATCAAACGTCGCACGAAAAAGATGCCCGATTTACCAGTCTATAGCACCAAAATAAATAAATGATATTTTTAATCTTCATTTTTTTTCTAAGAAAGTTATTTCAATTTTTAAATATTTTTATTCTACTTAGTCTTTAAATTAATATTATTTAATTTTCTTTGTGTTTATTTTAATATTTTTTAAGAACTAAATTTTTTATAGCTTTTACAATTTTTTTATATTTCACTATTTTCAAATGTTTCTATTAATTTTAAAACAATTTAAATTATTTACGTAACACAATTAAATTTCTAACGTTAGTATCGATAAATAGATACAATAATGCGGTAGAAAGAGCTAGTCACACCATGTAAAAAAATATTTTGATTTTGGATAGTTAGATGATTGAAAATAGACTATCGATATTAATATTAAAAAATAAGAATATATTCAATAAACAAAAAATGAGATAATTAATCGTGTACGCAGTCGTTCTAAATTAATGTAAAACAATTTTTTTATTATTATATAAGTGGAACATGCCATTAAAATAATTAACATTAAACTTGATAAATTTATTGTTTTTAATAAATTAATTTAATTTAACTGAAAATTTTAAGAACTAAAACCAAACATATCTCATTGGCCTACATATATTAAGGCAACTAAAAAAAGTCTTGAGAGGGTAGATGATAGGTGTAATTTACTCATTAGGTGTAGGTAAGGTAGGAAAACCCACAAATTAATTAAAGGCTGATTGATTGCATTGCCTCCCTTTCCGTTAAAGCTCACGTTTTTTTTATTAATCTATAATAATTATAAAGATAATATTTGTCATAAAGATTTTTTAATTATTTTACGATGAATATTTAAATGTATCGGATAGTTATTGGTGTTCGAACTTAGGATCTCTGAAAATTACATCCAATTTTTTAACTATTGAGATCCATTGATTCATGTCATAATTTTAAATTTGTTTATTGCTCTTTTCTAATACCAGCATTAAATTAATGTCACACTATAGAATATTTCGAATTCAGCCCAATTTATATTATTATATGAAAAAAACCCAAAATTTAAACTTTTAACACATGACAAGTTAACTAAAACGTGGTTATTTTTTTAAATTTATTATTTTATTTTAAATGTTTCATTTATATAAATTTTCCACATAACATTTCATAAATTTAATTTAAATTTAATATTTATACAATCCAAAATATAAAAGTATATGTGTGTTTTTTTATTAAATTATATATTTTAAGGTATTTATGCATTATAACTCTCAAATCAATTTAATACTTTGTATTCCAACAGCTTGGGGAAAAATAGAAAGAAAAATAATTTTAATTCTTATTTACAAAGGTATATAAAATGGTTCGCCTGCACAATCCAAATTGATTTACATACACACCTGATTATTTTTTTAATACTTTTTATTTTAATTTCAAATGATGTATCTAAAGGAATTGATTTGCAATTTTTTTTACAATCAAAATGGAATTGCATCAGATTTGCACATTTACTTACAAATCGACTTTAGAAAAATGTTTTAAAGGAGTTGTTTTTCATGTTTATTTATAAGTCAACATTACTATAAATCTCATCTGAAAATACTTTTATTCATATTATTAAATAATATATGTGTAACGCTCTAAAAAAATTAAATGTCATATATTAAGAGTATTATTAATATATCAATATTGATAGAATAAATAAAATATTATATTAATCTATAATGTCTCTAATGAATAAGTTTTAGTATGAGATTCTGAATTAAATTGTAAAAGTTATATAGTACTAAGAGCAAAATCATAATTTTGGCCTAAAAGAGTAAACTTAGATAATTAGAGAGAATCGGGTACGGACACAAGATTTTATATCAACTATGAATTTAAACTTATAAAATTTAAGAGACGAACTTAAATTTATAAAATTTCAGGAGTCGAAAATAGATTTTTTTAAAAAAAATACTTCAAAAAACAAAAATATACAATAATTTTAAATTTTTAAAGGTCACTGTCCCACCCGCCCCTTCATCCATATGTGGAGGGAATAACATTAACAAATAACCGGTACTTATTGTTCTTGTTAGTTTTGAATTGAGTGGTAAAGTGTAAATTATTTACAATATTTTTTTTGTTTTTTATGAAAAAAAGGAAAATTAGATATTTTTGGTTAAATGGAATTGATTCATAAAGTATGATATATATATATATATTGTGTTATTTTCTTTTATTTTGGAGCAAGAAAGGAAAATAGTAACTTTTATATTTCGAGACAAGATTTAGAGAAGGTTATTAGAGACAGAATTGTTATCGAGGACTAAATGATCATAATTCATAAACCCCTTAGATTATCATTATAGAAGTCAGGTAATTTTAGTATTTAAAAGGAAATTAGATTTGAAAATAGTAAGGTGAGATGATATTTGAATCCATGCACACATAGTTATTCGATTATGTTAACAAAAGGGTAAAATATACAAATGGTGTCCCGATTATCGAATATTTTTTTATTGAATCTCTTGACTATTAAATGTTACAAAATGATCCATCAACTATAAGGAGTTACTTTGTTGAGTCACTCGACTATTCATTATGTTATAAACTCGTCTTTTTTCCGTTAAAATATTAACAGTCTTCTGAGATAGACGTTAACATGTTGATTGAGATATGATAGTCATTTAAAATTATGAGATCAAATTTAATCATATTGTAGACACCCATTTTCGTCCATATTTCTTTATTTTATTTTACACATATATATCTATATATATATTTTCTAAAAAATACTTTTTTTTGTATTTATTTATTATTATTATTAACATTTTTTATTAATTATTTTTTTACATGCCCCCATTTCCAACAAAAACCCACTAAACCTGTAACATCCCAAAAGATGAACATCGAATGCAATTAGTGCATCGATGCATAAGGAGTGCATCGATGCACCCCCTTAAGAATAAACATCGAAGGTGATTTGTGTACCGATGCACAGGTAGTGCATCGATGCACACGTTAAGGAATGCATCGATACACTGTAGAATGCATCGATGCATACCTTTATTAAAAGATGAAAATAACCTTTCTTTTAGTATAAGAAGTGAAAGATTAG